TTTAATGAATTCATTTTTAATCCATATTCCCTCATTCTAACAAAAGACTATCGAAGGTGGTCCAAATGACCAGCTCCTGAGAGTGGTTTGACTATAATGTCATCAATATACACATGCATGAAGGTGTCTATGAAATCATGAAATATTAAGTTCGTTTCTCTTTGATAAGTAGCCCCAGCATTTTTAAAACCAAAAGACATGACTACCCATTCGTATGTGCCTAGTGCCCCCGGGCATTGAAACGCAATTTTGTGGATATCCTCTTCAGCGATAAAATTTTGGTTGTAACTTGAAAATCCATCCAAAACACTTAAATATTCATACCCTGCGGCCGAATCGACCAGCATTTCTGCCACAAGCATTGGATAATCATCCTTTGGAGTGGCTTTATTTAAATCCCTAAAATATATGCAAATTCTTAAAGCTCAATTTTTCTTCACTACAGAGACTATATTAGCTAACCATTTAACGTACCTGGATGTCCTAATGAATCTACTCTTCAACAAGCGTTTCGATCTCTACTTTGATTTTGGATAGCACTTCTGGTGCGAACCTCCTTGGCATTTGTTTGATTGGTCGCTTGCCTGGATTTATAGGTAGTTTAATTTACACCATCTCCCTGCTCAAACCAGACATGTCGTTGTAATCCCATTCAAAACAATCTCTGAATTCTTTAAGCAATTCAATTACTTGATCCTTCATCTTGTTGTCGATCTTAGTGCTGATGTATATAATTCTCCTAATCGCACCATCACCCAAGTCGGCTTCCTCTAATGGATCTTGTGCTTGCATCTTCAAGATATGATCTCTTGGGTCTTTTTCAAACCCCAAAGGCTCTTCTTCATATATTTAGTCAAGCCTCTGGCTTTCTGAAGTTGTTGTTTGGCTTGGTTCTCCAAGCTTTTCCACCATAATGGCTTCAGGCGCCATTTTTAAAATATTTCCAGTCTCTAAGGCCGAATTTATCCTACTTTCGGCCATATAGGCCAAAATCCTTGCCAAAGCATTTGACTTAGACATCATTATGAGTTTGTTCTTCCCACCTTGTGGGTTCAAACTCCCATTCTATAGTTGGATATGTATCCATCTTTTCTTGGTCCCAAATGAAACCATAAGTAGGGTGTAGGGTTAAAAACTTGATCACATTAGGATGTAACTTGAACACTACATCTTCAGGATCACGCGGAGGTATAGTAGCTAAGGATTTGTCAAAATTCTTCTTGTTGACCATAACATCAGCAGTAAAGTAACTGTGATCTACCTCAATGTTCTCCACAATCCCATCTTGGCGCCATATGGATAAGCATTGATGCTATGGTGCTGTCCCAATACCATGTATCCACTCACATCCTAGCAACAGATTATAGTTCGCTTTAGACGTAATCACCATAAATAATATTGGGCATAACATAGACCTGAAATTACCTAGCTTGCACCTGTTCAAAAAATCTACCAACTCCTCTTCAGGTTTGGAAAAAACAACCTTCATTAACTCAACAATTGTTTCTTCAGACAATTCTTCATTTTTAGTTTCATAATCCATTTTCTCCTTGTCGTCTTGGTTAACTTCAGGATCTTCAGTAATATCAACCACCATCATTTCTTGTGGCTTAGATAGGTTTCCATTGCCACTTTTAAGACCTTCACTAGTCTCGGTTGTTGCAACTATCATTGGATCAGCGGTCACAACTTGTTCACTCTCAAAACCATATGTGTCTTGATTGTCAATGCAACGAGTGAATTGATAATGTTCTCATGTTCTCCTTCGAGACCATCATTAGCCTCGGTCATCAGCACTTCCAATGGTTCGACAAAGTGTGCATCAACAACATGCAAAGGGTCTGAGTCAACCTTCATGGAGCTTTTTAGTTTCTCACCAAATTTCAATCGACCGTCTTTCATAGCTTTCTAAATCAAATCCCTGAAAAGAAAACATTGAGATGTGTTATGATCCAAAAAATAACGATACTTACAAAAACCTCTTTTTTATTTCTGCTCTAATGATGGATTTTTACTTCCTGAAAGCACTATATTCTGACCATCTGAAACTAAAACATCAAATATTTCATCACATTTTGACACATCAAAAGTATATGTTTTAGTGTTAGACGCATCATTTTTTTGTTCTTCGATTGTCTTTCCTTTTGACGGTCTTATAAGTTTACATGCATACGGAGGTCCAATTTTCAATTCAGCCACATTGACTTCTTCTTCCATGTATTCATCCTCAGACTCTATGGAATAAGTTTCTGTGTCTACATAGGAAATTTTTTATTTTCTATGGTTCTTTGACACCCTAGCTTTCTCTGTCTTCAAACGTTCGACATATCGAACTTTATCAGCTAGTTGGGACATATCTGTAATAGATTAAGGATCAAACTTTTTCCTAATAGAATAATCTAACCCTCCAGCAGCCATTTCGACCAGCTCATGTTCAAGAACTCCAGTAAAACATCTAGACTTTAGGACCCTAAACTTATTTAAATAATCTTCCATTGACTCTGACGACCTCCTCTTGATTGAGGATAACTCTTTCAAACTTATTTTAGGTTGACCAGCATAAATTTCTCATGAAATATACTCTCAAGTTATTCTCAAGTGTGTATGGAGTTTTGGGTCAACGTCGTAAACCAAATAAAAACATTTTTTGTCAATGAATTAGAAAAACATCTTAATTTTAAACCCTCATCGTTGGCGATATCGCCGGCTTTTATTTCGTACCTAGCAATGTGTCTATGGTCGACTTATTGGTATCACCAGCAAACTTGGTAAATTTAGATACCTTACATCCCCTAGATAATTCTGCCTGTCGAATGTAATCAGAAAAGGGCGAAGAGTAATTGGACCTCTGGAGGCCAACGTTTACTCTAGATCGTGTTAATAATTCTTCTACCATATTCACTATGTTGTTACGCCCAACGGTGGCATTTCTTAGCACTCGATCAGCATCTTGGTTTCTCCTAACTACGACTGGCTTGTGTTCGTATTGTTCAGCGAATTCTTCCTCTTCATAAGTGGGTGCTTCCACTCTTCGAGGTCTAAAAAGATGTTCATTGTTGCCCCCTTCAGTTCTTCAAAAACTCTCAACGGTTTGTGGCGCTTTTGAGTTAGTTGGACCCCTAATGAGTCAATCAATCTACCTATTTCGTCAACTACATGATTGAGGGTGACTCTCGTTTATTGAGTTAAGACGTTTACTAACTCTAAATTACTTTCATCCATCTGTTGCCTTAAAACCATAACGGAAGTAGTATTCAAAAATGGTGTCGACTGCAGGACATAACTAACACCGCCTCGTTGACCACTTGAGACATAACTGCATTGGTTTCCGATGGTCACTTTGTTTTCTGTATATGTGGTCGGCTCTGACCGTAATCCAACCATCATGGAGTAAGACATACCATGGACAAATGATGACCCTGGACCCCTGGAAAGAGTGGTTGATTTGGATCAAATGGCGATATCCCATGCCTAAGTTCTGTCATTGTAACTGTTATCCCTAAATAATGAACAGCGGTCTTACGGGTGATAAAACTGCCGCAATTTGAGTTGTGGTACTTACTGGTATGACATTCATATTTTGTGTAGAAATTTGTGTATGTGTCATGTTTGTGTCAGAGCATGGCATTTTAGACTTGGACAAAAATTTACCACTTCGTAAATTCACACACACTAACTATAGGAAACTTTGTAAAACTACACACACAATACAAAAGTATTAGCATTGTCCCATCGGGTGTGCCAATTTGTTTATTTCTGGTTTTGGTAAACAACAATAGTCTCTTAACAGAAAGTTCACTGGCGAGATCGACCAGGAAATCTCAGTACAGTGCTTCAGTTTTCAAGTGTTTTCACAAAGTATGTTCAAAAGGGTTCGTTCGACTAAGGCGAAACGAATTTAAAAGCAATAAAACAGGAATTGTAAAATAAAACAAAAACGTTTTAAACTGTAAAAATAGATGACATAACATCAAAATAATTGAAAATGAGTTTATTCAAACATACATCGCCCTTGCTTAACTCATTTCGCATGTTCGCTTGGGTACTCTGAGTGACTAGTGTGTAGGAATGTAAAAGTTTGAACCCCTTACACGCACTAAGTGCTTTATTTATAATACATGAAAATAACTAATTTTCAACGGACTTCGCTTCTTTATGAGCCACGTGTCTCTTGTAACTTCCCTCCGTGAACCTACGTTCTCCATCCCTACTATCAAACTCACATTTTCCATTCCTACTATCGGACCCACGCTCTCCATTCACAATGCTTTACTTTGCTAGTTATGCCTACTTTTGAATTTTTTAACACTCCTGAACCCAATTTATTTCTCATGAGACCTCTTTTCTTATCGACTGCGTCCACAGATCCAAATTAATCTTTTATGAAACCTCTTCCAGACGACTGCTTATGTGAGAGAAAGTGGTGTCAACCTAACATTACTCATTTCATCTCATTACTCATAGCAAAAAATATATATTTCTTTTATCATGTTAGAGGACTACTTCTCTAATGCACGTGTTCTCACATGCAATGTAAAACAACTTCAAGAAATTGAGTGGAGTCTACAATTAGAATATAGTTAAGTATTTAAATGTATAATATAATATGTACTACAATGTCCAGTATCCTGATAATGAACCCGATTAAGAACTTAAACTAAAATTCTAGCATCTACAGAAATAGCCAAACAGAAATACAACACCCAGTAACCAGAAAGATGTAGCTCCTTCTATGTTGGCAGTTTCAAGGAGAACACCGCCTACCTTTTGTACAACTTAACCATGACAACAGGACGTGAAACTCAAACCACTAACTAGTATTACTGAACAAGAAGTTTGATGTCGACAGACCAGAACTGAATTAATTATTGTCCTTCTAGAAGCTGAATGCATCCCTTCTACTCATTTACAATGCAGGAACTAAAATGCATGAGGATAGTTTTGGGGTGGATATAATTATACTTTGTTCCATATTCATGATACAAAATGTGAATAGCCTACTAACCAATCTCCCCCTCTTCAACATCATTTACAGGATTTGGAACAGAGGGTGCCTCTCCCTCCTCCTCTTCATCATCAACTTTCATATATAACCCTAGTTGTTCCAGGGGATTACTACTACCAAACTTGAAACTGCCCAAGCCATCCTGAGAGTGATCGGGACTTGTCTCATCTACATGACTTGGTAATTGCTCCGCAGGTACAGCTCTAAGCCTTTCCAAATCTTCGAGAAAACGAGAATTCTCATTCATTTCAACAGTCTTCTCCATCTGCATAGAGACCAGCATATGCTCCAATAAAATTCAGAACAAACATGCAAACACTTACATATTTCAGCTAGATAGACACTACTCATTTACCTGTGTCAAAGCTTGTCGTGCAGCTTCTCTGTCAAGCTCTACCTTTCGTCTGGCTTCAGCAGCAGCTTCTGCTTCTGCCTGCTTTCGAGCATCTTCAGCAGCCTTCGCTTCTGCTTGGAGCCTTGCCTTTTCTGTTGACAAACAGTTGGATCAACATGATAGATTAGTTAGCACTTAAGTAAGTTGAACAATTAGCATGGACACATCACTCTTTTTAATAACACAAGTACAAAAGCTCACTCACCTTTCCTTTGCTCCATCTCCATTTTCTCTCTTTCCAGACGCAACTTTTCAGGATCTCCCTTTTCTCCCTGACCTCAGCCAAATTTTATTGAAGCAAATTATATTCAAATTTCACACAACATTACGAACTATGATACTAGCAGAATTCCACATTTCTCAAATATGAGATATGACTTACTTGTGGGAGCGCCTTTTCTCGAGCTTTCAAGATAGTATCAACAAATCGATTCTTCAATATTGCAACTCGATAAAGTTTATCAGGGGAGACCTGCCTCTCAGAAGGACCACTGTCCCCTATAACATTTATAAGATAATTTGTTTGGAGTCATCTAACATAACAATAAAATCTTATTTGGTCCACGCACACATACCATCTTGCAGACAATCAGAGGCAGAAGGACTCCGTTTATCCTGAGAATTATCCTCAACTTGATCTAAGCCACTGACAGATTCTGTAAGAAATAAAGGATAAGAAAGAATCTATGGTCAAGAAATTTAATCATGATATTAAAGACATGGCTAACGAACAATAAGCACAGACATGCAAGTTTTATGCAAGACTAATAAATGGAAAAAATATAGAAGGTTTAGCATTAAGTCATTGTTATATGAAAATAAAGCTCATAGATACTATCACTATATTAAAAAGGAAAGAGACCACAAAATTTACTAGTGGTAGGAATTCAGCAAACAGAGAAAATAAAGGGACATGAGACAAGAGATAAGAATACAGCATTATCTCCCTAAACAATGTAACCAGCATAGCATCAACAACAACAACAACAACAACAAAAGCATTTATTCACAATTAAGGGTGTCTACCAGACAACTTTTTTTTTTTGCAATTTAACTAATCGCTTATTGCATAAATACTTACCATATGTAAATTTATGTCATATGGGCAAATTCAATAAGCTATTTGTATTTTCAACATTTGTTTAAATTAATTTGGGAGTTGAAGAGGAGACAAAGGGCGATAGGAGTACGGATCATGGTTCCCCACAACCCGAATAAAACCAATTGAAAAATCAAGGGTAATTTGGTTTGGTTTTGAAATAGGCTAACCCGAGGTAATTAGTTTAGGAAATTCAAACCTCAGAAAACCGATCCAAAAGAAGGGAATTTTTACAGTATGTGCATTTACTTAGTTATGTTTCTTTCCTAGTTTCCTTTTCAAACTCTCCCCATCTTTCCCCACTTCTCTAAGGCCGACTAGGGCACAAGACACTACTCCCTCCTTCACGCCCCACCACCACCTGAGCAGTGGCAAGCAGAGATCTTGCGCTGCAATCTCAAACAATCAACTGATTGGAACCCCTGCCATGTGCTCAACTTTACCCATTTCTCTACCATAATTTTGATTTAGATAGTAATATATGTTTTTTTGAACCTAAACTGAATTTTACTCTTTCATTTAGGGTTCCTTTCTGCAGGTAATTATAATTACTTTTTTTTTTAAAAGCGGTAGGCCTATTGTTGTTTTATTATTAAACCAAGTTACCTGACCCAACAAGAATGAGATTGAGCTGGTTTGATTCAAGTTGTGTATCACTCACAAATACGAACCAACCCAAACCGGTTAAATTTGATTGGTTTAGACACTAAAATACCCCTAACCGGGAGCAACCCAACATGTATCTCATTCAACAAAAATTGTTTTCGTAGCTATCTTGGAATATTTATTCAATCATGCTTATTAAAATAGTTAAAGGATGTATCACAAGCTATATGTACAATCTCTTCCAACCACTTATATAAGTGCTCAAATCATGCAATAAGCCCACATAACATAAGCTTTAAATAAGTTCTTCCAAATGTCACCCAAGTGATTCTCAAACTAAGTAGTTATGTTGAAGTGACTATAATGTTATCACCAATTAATATGGTCTTTCTCCATTGAAGCGATTTCCTCAAATAGTTCACCTAATTACACAATCTCATTTAAAGCTATCAAACTTTATATGCCACATATCTAAGAGTACATCTAAGAGTACATTTACCCTAGAGTAATAGCAACAGGGACAAATTCTGATATTGGCTTTGATACTGACATACACCAATATTTCACCACAAAGTTTAGTCTTCATAAGTCATAACAAAAATTGCACTACCTCTATCCATATATATGAAGATCCCATTGACCAAAACACACGGATTAAGAAAAGTTATTTTTACATTAAATGTGCCAATAATGTACATTCTCTTCCCAAAATTGTTAACCTTCAACTAATGAGACATGTATGGATATTTTTGTGAAAAACTAACTAATGCGTCTTGTAATTAGAAAAGGGTCTTATAAAAAAGACAATAAAATATTACAAGAGGTCCTATGTTTAGGGACAAAGGTAGTACCGTTTATCTAAAGATAAACTCAAATATTTCAAAAAAGGATTAATAGCTATTTTGTCCCCTGCCATACAGGCGAGTTTTGAAAAATTCCCCTGTAAAAAAATTTTCAAAAATTCCTCTGCCATATGAAGTTTCTCATGTGTTGCCCCCCCTTAAGAAATTTAAGCATAAAAAATAATAACACAACAGGGGGATTATTCAAAATTCACGAATTTAGCAAGGGTTTTTCAAAAAATTACCAATTCGGCAAGGGGAAAAAGATGTATAAATCCTTAAAAACATGAGGCAAATTACATGAAATTTAATAGATTATTGATTGGTAAATTTCTTGAGGGAACAAAATGGGAGAATCTTCATATGGCAGGGGGATTTTTGAAACTTATTTTTTTTACAGGGAGATTTTTCAAAACCCGCCTATATGGCAGGGGGCAAAATAGCTATTAATCCTTCAAAAAAACTTCTATATCAATGAGAATCTACAGCAACAAATTTCTATAATTTGCTGTTTTAACACCGTAAATAATCAAAATAGATCTTCAAAAGTATCAGTTCAACCAAGACAATTTTAGCACTCCTGCGATGTAAATAAATAATAGCACAAACCATAGAAGTTACCACGCAGACATGAGACAAACAATGGGAAAGATTAGACTTTTAGTTGAACTTGACATTAAGTGAGCAGGTCCATTTTGTGTAGTAGTCAAAGCCCATTTATGATTAGTTAAACTGTGAGTATGTAAAATCAAAATGTCCTGATAATTGGAAAACATATCCACGGCCTTATATATAAGGCTCTCCTTTCTCATATTTTAGGTTTTTACTGTACTACTGAACGTAGCTCTAATACCTGTTGAAATTTAGTGAGTGAGCCCATTTTGAGCAACATTAAAACCCATTTATTATTTAGTTCAATTGAGTGTGTTAATTTAAAATGGCATGACACTTGGACAACAAACCCACAGCCTTATATATACACATACTTTTCTTTCTTTAATGCTTTCCGACGTGGGACTCTTGAGTTAGTTTCACTTTTCAAACTGCAGACCATACAGAACAACCTTTATGCAGCTAAAAATGACAAACAAAGATACATCACTCACGATTTCTTTCAAGAGTATCAGCAGCCCTGGTCTTGTCCTCCAACCGAGCTTCTGAACCCATAATTTCTGGTACCTGAATAAGAACCTAAATGAATCAGATTTTTATAATACAAAATAATTATGTAAGAAAATAACATTCACTGAATAAACAAACCGTGCCTTTGCTTCATTTGCTGGGCCTGCTTTAGCATCATCAGATTCACTATCACTATCAGAAGAACTATTAGAGTCTGAATCTGCAATGTACACATTAGAGTAATAAATAGATGTGTGTTTTGTTCTTTTTGTAAGTGGCATTATCAACATCTCAGTATGTGCTTTGTGTTAAGATACTTCTTTATTTCCTAGTGCGAGATGAATTTGGGTCATTTCGATTTAAGTTCAAATGAGAATGCAAAGAAAAAAGAGATGATATTGAATCCTTCAAGATATGTAAGAGTGTAGCTTAGTTCAGTTACAACAGCAATAACTGCTCCCCGCTTTTATGATCCTACAAAGACTTGTATCAATGTATATTCACTCAGAAAGGTAATGCGAAAGTGTTTTTCAGATTGAAATTTCTCTCTACTTTTCTGAGTTTCCAGAGCTCTATTAAGGGGGAATTAATTAAAAATAATATATTTCGCTAAATCAAGAAGTACCATTGGAATGGCCTGCACTTGGACATTTGTTCTCTCTGCAAGTTGTATCCTTTTGAACCTTCACATCAGGATGGTTTGAATCAGGGGGCTCACCTGCACCAATGTCCTTTTCAACCTTCATATCAGGATTGCTTGAAACAGGGGGGTCATTTACACTAATTTCATTTTCAACTTTCACATTAGGATCGCTTGAAACAGGGGGTTCATTTCCACCAATGTCATTTTCAACCTTCACAGGAGGACAGCTTGAAACAGGGGGCTCATTCCCACCGATGTCCACTTCTTCATCGGCCATATCATTGCCTATAAGTAGTAGAACAATGTTTGAAAAGTTTCAAAAAAAAACTGCATTCACACATGCAGACACACAATCTCAAAAGTGTACCTTTAAATGGTTGCAATGAGGAATTGCTAGGTCCAGAATCATTCAACACCTGCAGCAGAAAATATAGATTACAAGAAGTCAAAGAGTATATGTATTATTTTAAGACAAAATTTCATCATGGCGGGGGAGGATTAGGGCAATACAATAGAATGTGATAATAATTTAGATTTATGAAAGGGTTGGGTAGTAGGGATGCACCTCTATTTCACACACTTGAACATTTTCTTTGTTATTTTGCTTCTCATGCAAAAAGTCATCCAAAAGGTTGCGTAATGTGAATAGTGTATCATCACTGAGAACGTCAATATCAATCTCAATCTCATCCTCTCCACATTCTCTTCCATTTGAACTATGTTCTTTCAAGAAATCAATGATATGGACGGGTATTTCCCCAAGCAAAGACTCCAATTGTCGACCTAGATTGTGCTTCTCTTGATCTGACATAACCTCCTTAGCAGGTGTGATAACTTGAGGTTGAGGGGGCAAAGAGACAATTTTCCTCTTTTTGGAAGGAGGCATTGCTCTGGTAGTTTTCACATCTGAACTATGGGCAGGCTTTGTAGGCAATGGAAGAGAATCACTTTTGGAGAGTTTCTTCTCGATTGTTTTCCATCTCATTTCAAAATATTTACGGAGGGTATCCGCCATGATATGGACATCATTCCCAGGTGGATTATAGGTCATTGCATTGGAAAAAGTTAGCCTCACATCAGCGGCAAATTCCAAAGGATCTGAGTATGATCCTGTATCGATCTTGCTTTTTATTGTTCCCAAATCCATAGGATGCTTAATGATAGTGAAATAATCAGGAAGGTTCAACTTGACGGCATCCACAGGGGTGTTGAAAACCCAACCATACTGATGACTCATTAGCCGTTTCAACAGTGACTCACAATCTTTTATTAACAAAGAATTTGCAGTGTTCGGCAAACAAGTCTTCAAGGGAGTCTCAAATTTTCCAGACGAGCCCCGATTCCACCCGCGAGGCTTATTACTCTTATCTAATTGTTTTGATTTATTCCCTGGAAAAGAAGTAGAAGCTGATTTTTTGGTCGAGTTTTCCACGTGATGATGCCTGGTAATGGTATTTCCATTACTACAACTAAGAATATCACTAGAAGACGAGAGCGTAACACCATTGGATCTGTGTAGCTCAATTCTCTTCTGAAGCTGGCGAACATGTTCCAGCTCAGATCTCAGGCGTTGCACCAGACCTCTTCTTTCAATTGATGACAATTTTGACAAGGGAACAACATGGATGGAAGCACCAAACGCACCGCGACGACTTGAGTTCAAACTAATAGATTTCCTAGCCGGGGCAGCCGAATCTTCCGAAACCGTAATTTCAGTGTCTATTTGCCCCGATGTTCCCGACCCCTCGGACTCACCAACTGTATCAAGAGGATTACCAAAATAACCTCCAGGGACCCTACAATTTGGCATCATAACGTCACACGGTCCAATTAAGATAACCAAAAGCTACGGCCTCAGTGAAGTAGCTTAATTTCCACATCCAGTACAATCACGTATGAAAATCACTCAATTCCAAAGCAGATTTTTCACTATAGATTTAACCTCGAAAATGAAGGGTAAAACGGGAATCTCCGTGGTGAAATTGAATGAAAGTGAGAAGTAATTGAATCGAAATTGAATTACCTAGTTTGTAGCACAGAGCTTGATTTGTTTGAAATGGAAGCTACAAGCTGAAAACAGCACTGCTCAGCTCAACGATATGAATGGAGGAAAGAGATCAGAGGTGAAGTGAAAACCCTAGCTGAACTGAACTAGTAAACGACGAAAGCTTAAGCACGTTATCTGAAAATCACGAGCTCAGCAGCGAATAACAGGAAGAAACGATATCTTGTAGAGAGAGCGAAGAAGAAAGAAGAAAAATGTGAAGTCTTACCTTGGCTTTCGTTTTTTTGTAACAAGATTATGACGCCGACCTTTCTCTTCGTCAAACACTGTCAGCCGTGTGATGTAAAATCAACGGATACCATGCGCCTTTTTTTGGTTGACAAGTACGACTTTTGGTATTACTCGTAATAAAACTTTAGTTTCTAGACAAAACTTATTACGGCGTAGAGGTGAACAATCAATCTGTTTAGATCGATATCAGATTTAAAATTTAAATTTCAGATAAATTGTGCTTTTATTCTAAAGGTTTAATTTCAAAAGATAAAATTTTGATTTTCAACAAATTCAATTAAATTAGTTTGACAAATAAATCGGATAATTTTAATTAATTTAATATTTATTGAATTAAACTTATAAAATAACTAATCTTTTATAAAATTCATATATTTATTTTTTAGATTTTTTAAAAAAACTATCAAAATTTTAGAATATTTTAAATAGAATTTATTGATGAAAACATTATAATTATTACGATAATATTTTGAATATTATTTAATATTAATTATTTTATTATTATACTTTAAAACACAATTATACAACACTCAATTTTATATTGCATATGTCATGTATTTTTGTGAGTACAAATATCATTATTAGATCATAAAAATAAAAATAATTCAAAAATTAGGGATGATAAAATGACTGTGGCCCGTCAAGCCGGCCCGTGCACCTGACGGGTTGGTTGAGATTTTGGACTCGTTGTCCATCAAAGTCCGTCCCATTAAAAACCGTCGTCCGTCAAAACTCATCGCTCGTTAAAGTCCATTGCGTATATTCGTTTAGATTGTCTCACCTTAAGCCCATCTTTTTTAATTAATTCTAATAAGTTCAATTCTTGATTGTTTTATTTTGTACATTTATTTGTGTTCGGGATTGGCCCGACAGCCAAGGTGGGCCCAGTCTGACCCCTTCATTCGGTACGGTCCACATGACCATAGCCTGAATCTTCCCCGCGCTTCGTCGGGCAACATCGATCCATTGTCCTCCTGGACCGGCACTGGCCCACGATGATTGACGAGCACCTCTCAATCTGTCTGACATCAAGTCACGCAGACAACTAGGAACCGACCAGATCGATGCCCGTAACCTACCTCCTCCTCGAATCTAACGGCTAGTTACGAGCACATCTGCCTGGTATGACCAAGTCTTGGAAGTTACATGTTTTTGCGGACCCGCATATCCAGGCCCAAAAACAGAAACCAATGGCTACACGTTAGGGGTATTATATAAACCCTCACACATGTGAGGGCCATGTATTGAATATTCATTATTCACCACTAATACCCTAATACTTTATTTATATCTCTTTGCTCCCACACTTACTTGATCGTCAGAGTGCCTTGCAGGTACAACCCCCTTTTTTCCTCCTCGACATCACATCCCGAATGAAGATTGTAACACAGTGGGAGAACTGACTTGGGTGTTTTGCGTTTGATCGCAATTGTTGCGGTTAGTAAGAGTCGCCACCGACTTTTCTTTTATCCAATAAAGAAAGGCTGAAAAGAACAGGAAAGACCTTTGAGATTATTTTCTTGAGTTCGGGGGGTAGATTATGAAAAGGAAAGGTGTTAGCACCCTTTTCATCCATAATTATCTATGGGCTCTTAGTTGCTTGCTAGATCACTTGCTTTTGTTTGAGAATATGCTTTGTGGTGGTTTTGAAAGTATTTTTGAAAATGCGTCTTCGTTTAGGAAAACTTTGTAATGGTTCTCGTGTTGTAAGAACGCATACAAAGTGTTGGACTTTTGAAAATATTTCATGTTTTGAAAGTTTGTTTTTGAAAGTGTTTGGTATTAGTTTTGAAAATGAGCAAGCAAATAAGAACGTTTCTACCTACTCAAAAGTCTTTTTTCATTTCTTCCTTCCTTTGATATTGCTATCTTACCATTGATTGGTAAGAAGTCTTATCTTTGGATGTAAAGGGACGGGTGTGGGTCATCGTATGGACATGATAACAATGTTGTGAGATATCTTAGCATTTCTCTTTGAGGGACTAAGATCATTTGAAAGGTAACGTCTGTAGCGTCATCGATGGACTATGATCTTGTATTTTAATTATTTTTGCTAAGACATCTCACATGCATAACATGACCATTTTTTAGGCAACAAGTGGAGTTAACCTTAGGGGTGCATATGTGAATAGTGTTTGATTGGCATGCATTTAATCTTTGATTAGGGTTATCTACTTGTTGATTTTATCTTTCCATACAAACCCTAATTACTAGCATTTATATGAAAGCGATAAATTGAAGAAAGTAAATTTACTACACTATTACATCATTAAGGGGATGGGGTGTACAAATTTATAAATGGAGATTACAAGAAATTAAAGTCCTAATTATCTATTACAACTATATTGAAATAATGTACAAGAAATGTAAAATGGACTTGTTTTGTTTTTGTTAAGAAAAGAAATAAATTTGCTTTAAAAATATTTGTGATCTTTTGGTTTTGAAAGAGATAAAACAAAGTATGTGAATATATAAAATATTTTTGGTGTTTTGATTATTAAAGATAAAATAAAATAATAAGAGGAAATGGGGCCAGAATCAGTGCGTGGCTGAAAGGGACAGAAATAAGAGGCAAAAACTCTGACTCTGATGCGCTGCAAAATCAGAAATAACAAGTTAGCAGAAATGGGGAAGGTCAGAAGTTCTGGGTCTGGGTAAACCGAAGTTTTGAGATTGTTGTAAATAAAGGAAAGCCTAGAAGTTCTGATTGCTGAAGGAGTTTAGAAGCTCTAGTGCAACTGAGAACCTAGAAGTTCTAATATCACTGGCAAGTCGGAAGTTTTGGTTGTTTGAGAGAGTGAGGTGATAATGCTGTTGGATGAGGATATCTAGAAGTTCTGATCTAGGAATATTGTCTGACAGATAAATGGGTAAAAATGTCAATAAATGAACCTAAAAAAGATGCTTCTGGGACTAGAACCCAGGACCCTTAGTACTAATGTCTTATGCGCACGCTTTCTACCACTGGGGTGGCTGTACATCTGGTATTAGAAGCAAAAGCATAAAACATGTATCACCAAGTAAACTCTGATGATGAACTTCATCCCCTTCTTCATGCTAGTCAGAGCATCTGCAACTTTGTCGTTTCTCAACAAAACAGAAAATACGCACATAGCAGTTATGACAAATTTTATCATGTTTCAGAAATATAAGGTATCAGCACTATAAATCAGAAGCAAGCATGAATTTTGCTAATCCTAACTATGCATCCTAATTTCTCCAAGAAGTTATGAACTGAAGTTCTCTCTACTTAGGCAAAAATATATGAAAACTATGAATATGTACAGAATCAGAATCAGGATGTCTACATTGTATTTTTGAACGTGCAAGTCTAACAATGTCTAAGTAATGTGATGAGAGTCAGCAGAAGTGTTGTACCCCAAAATTTGCCCTCCCATATTCTTCAAGGTTTGACAAGAATCATCCTCAAATTTGCTCAAGTCTACTCAAGGAGTTGCACAGTCAAACCATCTCCTAAGCCAGTCAAAATTAGGGTTTTGTTTCTTGCAAGGAGGTTGAGGTTTTCAAGGGCTCAATCAAGTCACATATGCCCATATACATTGTCAAGCATCTACATGTCAAGTTTCAAGACTCACAGCATCAAGTTGCATAATAAAAAACCCTAATTGCTTCACAATCAACTGTAGGGGTAAAATGGTCATTTGGCAGTCAAAAGTCAAAATTTTTGGTCAACATCTTATTTTGAAGCCACAATCATCATTTGATCAAGTCTTGATCATGATTCCACAAGCATGGCTCAAAAATCATCAAGATGCAAAAGTTTCCATTTTTGGACAGCTGAAAAGTCAACTGTAACTTGACCAAGGCATAACTTTTCCATGGTTCATCAGAAAAATCCCATCCAATGCTCATTTTGAAGGGGATGACATTTCCTACAACTCATCTTCACATTCCAAGTCCAAGAAATGCTCTCACAAAAAGTTATCAATTTCTACATTATAGGTCATTTTCCAAAGTCAACAAAAAGGCATTTTAAGTCAAAGACCATAACTTGAGATTGGTAAATCAAAATGACATGGGACCAAAAGAATTGGTTAGAGGACTTCAAGACCTTTCCAAAATGTCCAAGAACATGTCCATATGATCAAAATTGAGCAAGATATGCATTGGAGAAGTTGGGAAATTTTTGTGAAATGGCAAAAGTCAACTATCCTTGAAACTTCAATTTTTGACAAAAGGGCCCACTTTCTTCCACTTGATTCAGCCTTGCCATGCCATACACGTGTCCCATAATTAATATCAAGACCAAACATTTATTTTTTCATTTTTATTTAATTTTTATGGATTTAATTCATTTTAAATCCATAATAATTCAAATAAAATCTAAAAATTAATTGAATAGCATCTTTGTGGCTTGAATAACTTTTATGTGTCATATGACAGCTACCAAAATCGTGCCAGGCTATTTTGAGCACAAAATCATGGTTTTGCTTCAAGAATGGAAAGCTTTCAATGGTGGTTAAACAAGAATCTCCAAAACTTAATTCCATGGATCA